CACGGGTGCGTGCGCGCGGCCCGTGCTTGGCCCGTAGAGGTCTGCTCAGAGCGTGTCTTTTAAATCTCCCTTGGGTGGCAACTCTTTTTTTCTCCCCTTCCTGTTGGGCTGTGACCTGGGGGAGATTGATGGGCAGGCTACGCGGCGGATGCTAACAGTTCCCCTGATTTATAGTTACTTACGCTAAGTGAGGCCACTTAGATGCGTCTGGATAGTAAACCTTTTAACTGGACTAAAAAATCATAATAAATAAATAAACAAAGGGGGACCAGGGAGGGCCCTGAGGCCTGACCCCCCACCCCCACTCTCCTGTCCAGGAGGACCTGGCTGAGCCCCCGGGGAAGCAAAGCCTCCCTCTCAAGTTTCCGGGATCGGGAATGGTATTCAGCCCAAGAGGAAAAGATGCCACTCCCTTGGGGATAAGCTCTGGCTGGTGATTGGTGGGGGCTGGGGTGGGGGGTTGTCACAGCTGGAGGAGAGGGGCTGGAAAGTGGAGGGGACAAGGAGCCACAGTGAGGGTCTGGGACGTGATGGGAGGGGAACGGATGTCCCTGGGGGTGGGGGTGGGGGGATCCTTTTGCTTCGCAGCTGCCACTCCTTTGGCGCTGGTACCTGTCACAGCAGTGGTGGCTCTGGTGATGACACTAAACGCCGTCCCCCATCCAGGAAGGCATGTGCATCCCGCTCTCTCGCTGTTGCACCCAGCACACAGGCCAGGCCTGGCCCACAGGAGGCACTCTAAGCACCCGCTGAATGGGCATAGGCAGAACCCCCAAAAGCAGGCTGTCAAGGGGGGTGCCAACCCTTCAGGGAGCAGCACGGGAGCTGGAATCTTTATGGAAGCGGCTGCCAGCTGGTGAGCCCCAACCACCAGCCTTTCCCTTCGCAGCCTCGCACTTAGCCCGCTGCGCCATCCGCGGCTCCAGAACCGGAGCTTCCGGCGACTGGGACCCAGGACAGGCAGGCAGGAGGGGTGGGGTGGGGGGGTGGAGGTGTGGAACGGTGAGCTTGCTGGGACCCTGGGTGGCTGTAGGCAGCAGGCTGGCCTCTCTGGCTTCTGAAGGTGGGAGTACATCTGGCTGCTTGGGGACGTGTGTCCATCCCGAAGGGGAACACCTCAGAGGGCCCAACACATCCTGGCACTCAGGAGGTGATGGAGGGATGGGAGGTGAGCGCCCAGAGGCTGCGGCTGCCTGCGTAGCTCCGGGCACCCGGCAGTGCCCGCAGACCCAAGCTGCCTGGCAGAGGGCCGGCGGGGCTGCCCCCAGCCCAGGGACCGGTTCCTGGCCCTGCCTCCCACCTCCTGATATACAGCGGGCATTAGGCTGCCCAAAGGGGGTACTGCATCCTTAGGAAGAAATATGTCCTCATTTTTCTTAAACACCGTTTCCACTGAGTGAAATGTTTAGAAGGGACGCGCAGGGAGAACTTTATTTCCTACCAGGGAGTTCAGAGCCACCGAGCAGAGCCCATAAAGCACCGGGAGCCTGGTGGCTGACAGGCTGCCCGGCCAGCAGCACCATCACTCAGGGGCTTGCCCAGTCCTCTGAGAATGGCTCCCCCGCCCAGGGCAGGACAGAGTGCCCAGCGGGGTGGTGGGCACAGGTGCCTCTGCTGCGTGGGGCAGCCAGGAGCCCACGCTGCCTTCCCCTGCAACAGGGGAGCTGTCTGCTAGACACTCCGGCCTTGATCCCGAGGCCGGGACAGGGGCTCACGTGCAGTCACAGAACCCCCTCTGCGGGCCGCCCCGGCAGGAGCCGACCCTCCTCAGCCGTGGGAAGCAGTAGGGAGATGCATGCCATCTCGGCCCCTTCTCCCGAGGCCCTCCCCTCATTCGATTTCTGAAGCTGGCTGATTTGAATATTTATAAATATCAGTAAATTATTTATTGTAGCAATCTGCTACACCATTTTACCCATCGCAGTTAACACTTTAGGGGGCTCTGTGTTGCGGGGGCAGGGAGTGGAGATGAGGAGGAGGACTGGCAGGATCCTCTGGGAGGATGTCGCAGGGGGGCAGTCTGACCCCTGCAGAACCCCTTGTCGAGGTTGAGCCCAGGCTGGGGGCATCAGAGCAGCTGTGAGGACCAGCCCCTCCGAGCCCGCTTCCCTGGGCAGTTAGGAGCCCCAGTGAGCTAGTCCCTGAAGAGGTGGGCAGTCTAGACTTGCCACCCCCATGCCCATCAGGGTGTGCTCAACACAGAAGCAGGTACCCCCTCACCTTACAGCCCTGCACCCACAGAACAGAGATGAGAGCCTGCCCAGGGCCCCCGAGCTAGTGGGCCCAGGCTGTGAGTTCCCAGACTTGGACCCTCTGGGTCCCAGCAGGACCACCAGGGATGGAGAACAACTCCATGCGCGCGCACGCGCGCGCGCGCGCGCACACACACACACACACACACACCAGGGGGGAGAGGACTCGCCATCTGCCCATAGATACCTGCCTGGCTGGGCCCACCTCAGCTACCCCCGCCCCTTGTCCCACCCCTGGTACACGAACGGGAGTCCCCACTCCTTCCCACCCTCTGGCCCAGCCTGCCCCCTGGGCAGTATTGTTCCCAAAGGAAGTGTCCAGTGTAAATAGGGCAGCGGGCAGGCTGGTGGCGGGAAGGAGATGAAAGGGGCCGTGACAGGGCCGGGGACGGATGGCTTCCTCCCATTGAGGCCTGGTCACGGCGTTTATATTTGGGGAGGAAAGTCAGGGGAATGTTTACATGGACAGGAGCCTGGGGTCAGACTGGGGGAGGGCCATCTGCAGGGTCCGGGGCCTGGCCGGTGGGGGGCAGGGGAGAAAGACCCCGGTGGGCAGCTTGGACACCTCGCGTGACCTTGCCCACCGTTCAGCCCTCTCACATATAAGCACTGCCTCCCACCCCTGAGCCTGGCCCACGTGGCCTCCTCACACCTCCACCCACAGGACCCTAGGCAGAGGGAGGGCAACATCTGGAAGGCAGGTGGCCTGGGCCGAGCAGCAGCTGGAGAGCAGGTGTGGGGGAACCGTCAGAAGCAGAGGGGCTGGGAGGCCAGGGGCGAGGTGGGGGGACCTGGGGTGCACAGCTGCATCGCAGCTGGTGGGGGCCCAGGCAGGGGCGGGGGCCGGGGCAGGCCCATGGCCGGGCTGGGGTGCAGGGGAGGCTCCAGGATGGGTGGGGGCCTCAGGAGGGGAGCGTCACCAGCAGCAAGTGCAGCCGGGAGCTTGCGAGGCCCTCTTCCTGGGGATAAATATTTATAGGTTCATTTGCCGTCTACCAACCACACTTGGCTGCTTCCCTCCTGGTAAAAATAGTACATGCACCACCACCACCACCACCCCACCCCCCCACCC